CTCGCGGCCCTTCTTCCTTCGTAGCCCCGGCCGTCCCCAGGGGCTGCTCTGAGCCCCCCTCCCCACCCTGAGCAGCCCCATCGAGATGCAGCTCGGTCCGTAAATCCACCTGCTCCACGTGCACGGTGCCACAGCTCGTCCCATGCTCAGAGCTGTGCAGCTGTCACCCCCACCCAGTCTAGAACTTTCCATGCCCCGGAGGGAGACTCTGTAGCCCTCTACCGCCCTCCCCTCCCAGCCCCTGGCAGCACCTGTGTGTAGGGTCACACCACAGGTGGCTTCTCTGTGAGACCCCTTTAGTGCCCTGGAGGCCACCTCCCACCCTCAGGGGTGATGGCCTAACCAGACCTGTGGGTGGCCGTCCCCTCAGAGCTGGGAGCCTAGCCCTCACCAAGGCAGTCTGGGCAGGGCCAGCCTGAGCCCGTGTGTGCGGGCAGCCCCGCCTGGGTTTTTGGACCTCTCTCATTTGTGTGAGGGCCCCTTCTACTTTGTGGACTCGTTTCTGCACGTCCCACATTCCTAAAGGGCCCCCAGCCCCTCTGCCCCCACCCCGGGTGCAGACTCTGGCCACAGTGACACCCAGAACTGTCCGCCTCACCTGGCAGCCCTTGGCCCAGGTCACCCAGTACCTGCTGCGGTGCTCACCCTCCACTCGGGCCGAGGTGGAGGCCAGAGAGGTTCAAGGCCCTGGAGGGGCGAGGTGGGGCTGGCCGAGGGCAGGGAGCTGGCGGTGACTGCACACACAGGTGCCGGCTGGGCAGCCGTGGCCTCCTAGGCAGGGGCATTGAGCTCTTGGTGCAGAGCCTACGGGTACTGAGGCCCGCGAGGCCCTGGGCGGCTGCTCCAGGACCCTGTGAGTGGCCATCTGGGGCCTTCCATGGGCTGGGCTGCCCTGCCTCCACCCTGGGAGAGCGGGCTCACGGTCCTGAGGCATTGCCCTGCCCTGCAGCCGCCCTGGCCGCCCCCAGACACCTGGGCTTCTCAGATGTGAGCCACGACTCCGCGCGTGTGTCATGGCCGGGCACCCCGCGGCCTGTGCGCCTGGCCAGGATCAGCTATGTCTCCAGTAAGAGTGACCACTCAGGGCAGGTGAGCACAAACCCTGGGCCTGGCCTCTGGGCACCATCCCAGCCCCACTGCCCGGTTCTGGCGGGAGCTGAGGAGGGAGAGGCGTGGAGCCAGACGCAGATAAGCGTGTGCCGGCAGGCCGGGCATGCAGGAGGGGCAGGTGTGTGGACAGACGTGGCCCGCAGGGCGGTTCTGGGGCTGAGCCTGCCACCCTGGGGCTCTAGGGTCCCCCACATCCCCAGCACACCTTCCTGGTTTGCGGGTGTCACAGGCAGTCCCGCTGTAGGGCCCTGTCTGTGTCCCCCTGCAGACGGAGGCTCCTGGGAACGCCAGTTCAGCCACCCTGGGTCCCCTCTGCTCTTCCACCACGTATGCCGTCAGCGTCACCTGCCTCTACCCTGAGGGTGGCTCCTCCACACTGACCGGCCGAGTGACCACGAGTGAGTCAGGAGGTCAGGGCCAGGGGCCAGAAGTGGGCCCAGAGGGTTCAAGTCAGAAAAGTGTGCTAGGCATCTACTCCGGGCCGTGACATGGCCAGGCGTCGTGAGAGGGGGAGTGGGCACCTTCAGGCGGAGATGAGGGCTCACCCCCCTGAGGTGCCACAGCTTGGGCCTGGCCCTCAGCCTCCATCCCCCGGTTCCATCCTCCAGAGAGAGCCCCCAGCCCGAGCCAGCTGTCAGTGACGGAGCTGCCAGGGGATGAGGTCCGGCTGGCGTGGGTGGCAGCAACCCGCTCCGGAGTGCTGGCCTATCAGATCAGGTGGATGCCCCTGGGCAAGGGGAAGGCCCAGGAGGTGAGGACTGGGCCTCCGGAGGCTGAGCGGGCTCGGGGTGCTGCGGCAGTGCTGTTCAGGACACCTGCCTGCCCTGACGTGTGTCCCCTCTCCCCAGATGTCCGTTCCTGGGGACCTCGGCACAGCTCTCCTGCCTGGCCTGGGCAGGCACACGGAGTACAAGATCACCATCCTGGCCTCCTATAGCAACGGGGCCCTCAGCGACCCTGTGTCCCTCCGCTACTCCCCCTGTAGGTGGCCTCTCCCCTTAGCTGAGGTCAGCCCCGAGAAGACCCCAGACTTGCCCAGCTCCATGACCCTAGAACCGCTGAGTCACTGCTGGGGTCTCTGGGGCCCTTAGAGCCCCACGGGGCAGGCTGGGCCTTCTCACCTGGTGTGGGAGGCAGCTTCTGTAAGCAGCAGTTTGGGCGGCAGGGTCTGCTGGAGTATGGTGCAGGAGTTGGGGCACAGGCCATGGTGGGGTTGACTGCAGGGTACCCGCTTCCTGGAGGCTCCAAACCCCAAGCTGCCTATGCTCTTGGGCAGCCGCTAGAAGCAGAAGCCCCCCCCTCCAGCCTGGCCCTGGCCTCGGAGACGCCGGACAGCCTGCAGGTCAGCTGGACGCCCCCCAGCAGCCCTGCCCTGCGCTACCAGCTCACCTATGTGCCAGCCTCTGGCTTGGGGCCCGAGACCACAGTGAGTCTGCAGAGCCCGAAGCTGCCACCACTTGTGGCCTCCAGGAGCAAAAGGAGGGACATGGCCCTTCCCCACCTGCTGGGAGCTGGGTGGCTCTTCTGAGGAAGGCCCCAGATGCATGGAAGCTGAGCCATGGGGCGTGCAGAGGCTCCAAGAAGGCAACTCAGGCTGAGACCCCCCCCCCCCGTGCCAGGGCCTAAGAGCCACACGACACTCCTGGGCCTGCTGGCGGCCAGCGAGTACAGAGTCCTGGTCTCGGCTGTCTATGCAGCGGGCGAGAGCGTGGCCGCGTCTGCCTCAGGATGGACCGGTGAGTGTCAGACCCCAGGCTCAGCTGGACCCCTGGCTGGCCAGACCCGACTGAGCCAGACGACCCCAAGAACTCAGGCAGGGGGCCACTGGCGGGGGCTTGGGCCAGCCTGGGCCGGAGATGGCCCCTTCCCACGGGCAGCCAGAGCTGCAGAGGGAGCAGGGGGCACTAGATCTTCAGGTGAGCCGGCCCATTCTTGGGTGCCAGCCTCACTTGGGGTTGAGACTCAACAATCCCAACAAAACACTCCTGGCCGTGCCCCCGTCATGTCTGGGAACTGGCTGGCACCGGCACTGAGTGCCAGCGAGGTGCAGGAGCTGAGCTGTCCACACAGCTCGCAGGTGGGAGGCAGCTCAGAGAGGCCTGTCTGGCCCCGCTGGTGCGTGAGGACATGGCTGTGGCGGTTCTGCCAGCCCTGGGGCTCCCTCCTGCAGGCTGGGCCCCACTGAGGGGGGCCATGCTTGCTTCATGCCTGGAGAGGAAGACTTCGGAGCTCCCCCCCGCCCGCCTCCCAGCTCCCTGCCACGGGTTCTTTACGATGTGGCTG